TCAACTTTTTTCTATTTGCAAATTTTCCTTTAAAATGAAAAATAATTAGTAAAATAGAAAGTCTCAATTTCAAACTGTATCTTATATGTCAGAAAAACAGCTCACAGATTATATTGAAGAATCTGAACTGTACTCCCAAACTATAGATTAGCTAGAAATGTTTGGCAAATTTTATGTCACAATACTCAGAACAATATAGCTATCATATTGGCTTCCTAGTCCCTTTGCCTTTATACTTTGTAATTTCAAGTCCCACTTGAAATTAAGAGCCAGAGATAAGAATAGCAAATAACACTGCAATAGTCGGTCTCTTTTTCTCTCAACCTTTATTATGAAAAGCTTTAACATATAGAAAGCATAGCAAAGTGAATCAACTTATTCCCAGCTTTAACAGTTGTCAAGATTTTGCTACTCATTTCAGCTATTTCCCTTCCTGACACATTTTTTTCCTATGCTTTTAAAAAATAAATTCTATTGATTGTTATTTTAACTGTAAATACTTCTGTATATTTCTCTGATAAGCTTTTTTTCAACATACCCACCATGTTATCATCTGCTTTTTTTTATTATTCTTATATTAGTCATAATTTATCACTATCATGAAATTCTCTATATTCATATTTTCCCAGTTGTCTCAAAATCATCTTTTTATGATTTTGTTAGAATAATTTGTTATTCTAACAAATTTGTTTGTTAGGATAATTTGTTAGAATCAGGACCCAAACAAAATCCATATTACATTTGGTTGTTATGTTACATTTTAAAATGTAAATATTAGAAATTTCTAATGCCAAAAAAAAAAGACTGCAATTTTGGATGACATTTTTGTTTTCTTCTTATAAAATTATATAAGTTCATTGTATGAAAAGTTAAAAAGTCATAAAATACTAAGAAGAAAGTGGAAATCACTTATATTGCTCAGAGTATATTTCCTTCCTATCATTTTTTACATTATTTTCATAGTTGAGATCTATTGGAAGCCGTTTTATATCTTATTTCAAAGTATATCTGAAGCTTTCTATACTTAAATTTTTTTTTCCATTTTAATGGCTGCATTAAGATGTACCTTAATTTTTTAGAACAGGTAAGTACCTTAATTTTTTTTAGGGGCCATATCTAATTTAGAATGCCATTTTACAGTGTACTCCAACACATTTTCTTGTTGCTATGGTTGAAGAGACTCGTATTTTTGAGTAAGGGGTCTAATTTTCCTAATTAATTCCTAGAGTAGGTGAAATGGGCTGGTCGATGCACTGTTTTCTCTATATGTAGCAGATAATGCCTGGATCTTGGTCCATTGGCCGTTTGAGAGAGATGTTTGTTTTGCCATGTGGAGGACAAGTAATGCCCCTAGTGGGCCATTTTAGTAAGTTTATATAAAGTCCAATTTTATATAATTTCTTTAAAATATCATTGAATATATCTGAGTATATGATGCATTAATTTCTCCAAACATTATCAAGGGAAAGAAAGGTATTAAATTCAACTATTGGCAGGACTTTGGGCATCAGGGAAAGTTTGGAAAAGGTTGCACCTACCTTAGCTGCTATAGGTTGAAGTCATCAAAGAACTCCAAAAGATCAAAGTAGACTTGAAATAGACATAACTTATGCAAAAATAGTGATTCTTAGGTGTGTACTTTTATGAATATATGCATTTCGTAGGGGTGTTATAACAAATCACCACTAAGTGTGTGGCTTGGTATAACAGATATTTATTCTTTCACAATTCTGGAGGCTAGATGTTTTTAAAATCAAGGTGTCAGGCAGGGCCATGCTGTCTCTGAAGGTTTCTGGGAAGAATCCATCCTTGCCTTTTCCTGGCTTCTGGCAGTTCCTGGCAGTCCTTGGCGTTTTTGGCTTCTCTCCTCTGTCTTCACATGGCATTATTCCCTGGGTGGATCTCTTCCTTAATTCTGTGTCTCTTCTTATAAGGACATCAGTGATTGGATATAGGACCTACCCTAATCCAGTATGACCTCATTTTACCTAATTACATCTGCAAAGACTGTATTTCCAAGTAAGGTCACAATCTGAGGTTCCTGGTGGATGTAAATATTGTGAGGACACTGTTCAGCCCAGTATAGCAGGTGTGGGTATTTGTGTATATGAGTAGATTGGGAACTGGGGGGCTATCGTAAGTTCTTAGATAATACACATTATAATTCTTTTCTCCATTGTTGATTTCTGCTTTTTCTTAAGTGTATTTAGTATAAGAATACATGAATGTGGGGGAAATGTTGAAAACAGTACTAAAACAGTAATTTAAAATTCTGTGTTGAATAATTGCTGCTGTTCCTTGAGATTAAAAGATAAAAACAATTTCATGAAGTCTTGTCTATTTATGGTTTTAGAATCCTAAATTTATAACCAGGACCCAAAGTTTCTTATTTACTAAAAGCATTTGAGCAGAGTGTTATAATGATTATTTCAGTCCTTCTAAGAAAATAATTTGGCTTAGGCCAAAGGTTATGAAATACTTGAATAAGTTACTAAAAATTCTAGACTATCTTTCACTGAGTTTATTAAAAAATAGGTTGAAATTAGACTGTTCTTCCATATCCATCCACCATTATCACCACCCCCAAGATGACACCAAGAAGTTAGCTAATATATGTCCCCATAAACCCATATCTTTAGATTGTTTTATTAATTTTGATGCAAGTACATAATGTTTGCAGGAATTGATTTTTGTAGGGATTTATAATAAAATATCAGTTAAAAGATTAATTGCCTCGCTTCTGGGCCTTTGGTTTCTGTAGTAATCAGTATAGTAAAATTTTTATTTAAAAAATTCACTTGAAGTTTTCCATTTATACTCTGTAAAAGCAAATTGAATGCCTATTGTTATCCATAAATATCTTAACTGCTAAGATTTTCTAAGATTGTAATAGAAAACCAATTATCAGAAAGTCATTAAGTAACTTAGAGAAATTTAACAATGTTAATAAAACATGAATTTATGACTTTTGGCTTATTTTCTTAGATAAAGCTCTCGGTCATTTTGCACTTTTTAAATTAGAAGAAAAATTTTAAACTTTATCCATGCCTTCTCTTTTACAAATCAGAACATCTTATAGCTCTCATCTGCTTATTATTCTCATAAATTTATAATGGGCATATATGATTATGAGATAAAATAAGGTACATCATATTTTACTATCAGAAACTAACTTTTTAAACCAAAGTTAGAGATTTAGAATGGAACTCAAGGCAGTGTAAATATGTAACTTATTTTTCTAAAAGGACTCTTGTAGCCTTCTGTTTAGAGCTTCTTTTGGGTCTTAAACTAGAATGTTACATGTTTACTCATTCACTAAACTAATTATTTAGGTGTAGTATGTGGTGTTATACATGCACTGTGCAAAGCACTGAGCTGGAGTGGGTAAATCTGCAAATATATATGTTTATATTTCTCCATTCATTCAATAAATATTGAGTATTTGCTGTATGCAAGGTACAATATCAGGAACTTCTTGATATAAAGTTAAACAAAACAGACACAGTCTTTGTAATACTTACAGTCTTAGAAAAGGAGAAAGACATTAATCAGATAATAATACAAATAAATGTAAACTTATCACCATGAAAAATACTATGAAGAAAAGGTGAATGGTACTATCAGAGCTCATAAGGGAATTTGACTTAGTCTTTGGAGGGGCTATGCAAGGGCTCAAAGACACCTGAGGAAATGACTTTTGAACTGAGATGATTATTGGAAATTATGTAATTGAAGGAGGATGTGAGAAAATTCCAGGAAGCAGAAATTATATATAATAGTGAGTAGTGAGTGCGAGTTATTTGAAATGAAAGGAGGCAGTGCAGCTGGAACACAGGGAACCAGACGGAGTGTGATGCACGATGCAGCAGGAGAGCCAGCGGCAGGGGCCAGACCAATTTACCTATACTGGTCTGGCCAGTAGTACATACTCAATTTTATTTATATGTAGTCACCAAATTCTATATTTTATTTTGGTTTCACCAACATAAGCCATTCAGGTACCTTTATTTCTTGTTTCTTATTACTATGTAAAGTTCTTGAATTACTTGCTTTATCTACAAGATAATAGAATATCTTATAGCAGCCGTAAATATTCAAAACCAATGATACTGCTATAGAAAAACCATATCTTATGTTTACCATTAAACACTGATTCTACCTGAACAAAATAGCACATTTAGAATTCATATGTTGATTAGCAATAACATGTACAGCAGTTTCACTTGTTGATCTTAGAATGCTAAGTTGACTAGCTTTCGTCTTATATAAATAAGGTTGAAACTGGTATATTATAGTGCCCAAAAAGCCGAATATTTTATATATAATATACTGGTATAAATGAATTTAAATTTATGTGGTGACAGGCATTAACTTCCTCCTGATGTTTTGATGTTTTAAAATATTTAAATAAATGTTTAAAAATTAATATGAAGAATGATTATAAAATTATGCTTATTTCATGTGTAGTTTGTGTGATCTGTTTTAATATTTTATAGTTTGTGGCTTCTGTGTCATCAGAAGTTTGAAAACATTCTTAAAATGTAGTCGGATTGCATCTTTGTTTCAAAATTCACTGAAACGATATGTAATGCTTATGTAAGAGCAGCTAATGATGTAGTGATGAGATTTTAGCCCTTTAAAAACCTGTAATCCTGTATAATTTCACCCTTATTCAAAAAGAATTTGATGTAAGTAGTTTCAACACTGTAATATTCATGAATTATTGATTTACAGTGAACGTTTACATTGTACTAGTGAACTCATGTAAGCATTTCTAACCTGTGGGATATTTGTTTTGCAGGAGAAAATAGAAATTCTGTATTCACAACTTGAAATGCAATTTCCCATTAATATTAATTCTTTCATCGATTGTTACCACAAAATTGGCTAAAATTAATACTCTTCTGTCATAATAGATCAAGGTGATTTACATTTAGTTTTCTTTGTCTTTTTGTTTTTGTTTTATTCCCTCCACTCCCATTTATTTCATGGCATATCAGTGCTTCAGAGAATTTAGATGAGCTCTCTTCCTCCAGTAGCTGGTTACTTAACCAGAAGCACAGTAAGAAAAGGAGAAAAGACAGGACAAGATTGAAATCTCCATCCTTGACTATCATGAGTACAGCAGCTCGAACAAGGCCACTTCAGAGTTTCCACAAACGAAAACTCTACAGATTGAGCCCTACTTTTTATTGGACTCCGCAGGTAAGGTCGCCTTTGGCAAAACATGAACAAAGATTTTATTGTCAATATATTTCACAAGTTAGAGGATATGAACTGTACACAGTTGTTTAGAATAAGTGGGATTTAATAATTTTTAAACATAGCAGTGTATTCTGAAACTTCTCACATTTCCATTTTTTTAAATCACTATTATGCTTAAACGAGTTTGAAAGAAATGTACATATCAAGTTGATTTTAAAATTTTACTAGTAAGGGTAACAAGGAAAACACAAGTGTATTATATATTTACCTTTTGCTTAGTGAAGAAAAAAGTAACAATCTGCAGGGTTTTCAGTTATTTTGGAGGAAATGACATTGCTCTCCCTTTTATGTTTGGTATTTGTTAAACCTGGTGAGCACTCCTTTTTCATATAAGCAATGAAGTTTTAGATGACCATGCTTACCCTTTTTGCAAATAAAATATGCTTCATTAAAAGCGTCCATTTTGAAAAGCATATTTTTCATTTGTTAGCAACATGTTAGATATGCATCTTTCAGTGCATATCTAAATAAGCTGTGATGGAGAGCAAAATTATCTCTAGTTCTCATGGTATAATGTGCTTTTTTTCTCTTATATTTTTTATATGCCAATATGAAATATTTATTGTGGGAATGAATAATAATGGTGATGATTTGGGAAAATCTGGGAAATGTTTGATCAAGTTTATTTATTTATGCCTTATTTTACTATATATATATATTAGCATCTTTATTGGAGTATAATTGCTTTACAATGTTGTGTTAGTTTCTGCTTTATAACAAAGTGAATCAGTTATACATATACATATGTTCCCATATCTCTTCCCTCTTGCATCTCCCTCCCTCCCACCCTCCCTATCCCACCCCTCTAGGTGGTCACAAACCACCTAGCTGATCTCCCTGTGCTATGCAGCTACTTCCCACTAGCTATCTATTTTAAATAATATGTCAAAGGAAAGAAATTATCCTTGATTTAATATTGTTTTTGATTATTACTACATTAACTATTTTTAAATATATTTCTATAAAAAAATCAAGATGCTTTGTTTCATTAGGAACCAATTTCAAATTTGGTTTTATAGGATCCTTTTATAAATAGGAACATGAATTCTGACAAATTAATTTTTATTAATAGATTGATTTTTGCCATTTAGTAGTTCAGGTATTAGTAGTATGCTTTCCCAACTTGAAATTTTTAAGAAAATTTTATTTCAGAATTTAAAGAAATTTTACATATTTAATAAACCTAATAGGAAAATATTTTATTTAAAGTTTTTATATATGAAATTATATTTTATTTAATAATTTTTATTTAAAGTTACTACAAGCAATAGAGAAATAATATATTTGAAAATGATTTCATAATTTCATAGTTATAAATAGAATTGTCTATCAAAAATATCTCACATTTGAATATGCCTTAATATTCTGACTGGAAGGAATCTATCTGAATAATTTAGGGGATTTGCTCAATATTACTAAAGTACTGCATATGCCTTGATAATATAAAGATTGGCCTGGAAAAGTGTGAACAAATTTAAAACTTCCAGCAAACAAAGGAAGAAACACGTCTAACATTGTTACTAGTAGACCATATAATTTACCATATTCCAGTCATAATGCTAAGCATTTTCAGTACATTATTTTATTTAGTCCTCAAACATAAAGCTATGAGGCATTATCAATCCCACCTTTAGATGCAGAAATTGAAGTTTAGGGAGATTAAGTAACTTTCCCGAGGTCATACAGCTAGTAAACAATAAGTCTGATTCCGAAGCCATGTTCTTATCCATTAGTACATTGATAACAACAAAAATAAACCAAATCTTTTTTTAATCAATATTTTCTATTGAAGTTGATCTACAGTCTTGTGTTAATTTCTGCTGTACAGTGAAGTTATTCAGATATATATATATATATACACATTCTTTTTTTAATATTCTTTTCCATTATGGTTGTCATAGGATATTAAATGTAGTTCTCTGTGCTATATACTAGGACCTTGTTGTTTATCCGTTCTCTGCATAAAAGCTTACATCTGCTAACCCCAACCTCCCACTCCATCCCTGCCCCAACCCCCTCCCCCTTGGCAACCACCAGTCTGTTCTCTATGTCCATGATTCCATTTCTGTTTTCATGGATAGGTTCATCTGTGTCATATTTTAGATTCCACATATAAGTGATATCATATGGTATTTGTCTTTCTCTTTCTGACTTACTTCACTTAGTATGATTATCTCTAGTTGCATCCATGTTGCTGCAAATGGCATTATTTCATTCTTTTTTATGTATGAGTAGTATTCCATTGTATATATGTACCACATCTTCTTTATCCATTCATCTGTTGACAGATATTTAGGCTGTTTCCGTGTCTTGGCTATTGTGAATAGCGCTGCTGTGAACACAAGGGTGCATGTGTCTTTTTGAATTATAGTTTTGTCTGAATATATGCCCATGAGTGGGATTGCTGGATCATATGGTAATTCTATTTTTAGTTTTCTGAGGAATCTCCATACTGTTTTCCACAGTGGCTAAACCAAATCTTTTATGTGCTTGAAATCAGTAAAGACTGTATATTTGGGAATTGGGGAAGGAGCTTTATCTGGTTAGAGGCATTTAGAAATGCACCATAAAAGATGGGTTTGGAAAGATAAACAGAATATTGAAAGGGTTTAGGGGAGATTAAGAAAAGCACTTTAGTAATTGTAACAGAGGTGGGAAAAAATGATGGAGAACAGCAAATGACCCCACCCCCAACTTATCCCCCAAATTTCCAGGGTAATAGTTATTTACCTTTCTAAATTTAATAAATGTCATTTCTCTCAGGAAGCCTTCCTTGATATTCCCACTATGGGGTATATAATGATGTAGCACCCTGTGTTATAATAATAATCCATTATTTTATAATAATGTTCCATTTATTTTTCTGTCTTCTCATTACATTGTAAGTTTTTTGAGAACAGGAACTGTGTATTTCTGAACCTACAGGGTCTTGAACAGTAACTGTCCAATAGTATATGCTCAATAAATAATTAATATGTGAAAGAATTATTGTAGTGGAATGTAGAAAGATATTTAAAAGGCAATGGAGAGTGAGAATTTGTGTGTGTGTGTGTGTGTGTGTGTGTGTGTGTTTCCTTGATTTGCTTTGTGAAAGGGTCTAGAACAGTAATGTCTAATAGAACTTTCTGTAATGACGAAAATGCTCTATAAATATCTGTGCTGTCCAATATGGTAGCTACTAAATACATGTGTAACTATTGACCACGTGAAATGTGACTAGTGCAGCTGAGGAACTGAATTTTTATTTTTATTAATTTTGATTTAAATGGCCACATTTGGATAATGGCTACCAAATTGGATATGACAAGACTAGACTCAAACTTACCATGATAGCAGTGAGAACATGTGGCACTCATTCTGTTTTCTAATACTATTCCTTACTGAAAGGAAATATAGATCTTTGGAGAAGTGTCTGATCTCCAGGGTTGGGGAAGAGGGGCTACAAAATGGGCCTGGGACGTCTTATTGTTACCAGAAGGCAAGGAAGTGTTTAAAAAAAATGATGGGGGCATGTCAAAAAAAAAAAAAAAACCCAAGAGCTTGTTTGGAGAGGCTTCCACTGGCCAAATCTGGGGCTCTCTGAGCATTGAAATAGCTAAGGACAGTAATTAACCCAGTGAAAATATAGGTAGCCATGAGTGTATCCTGATGAGAGAGAGAGAGAGAAAGAGAGAGAGATTAAAAGGGGAAAGGGAAGACTTTTGCATAGAGTAGGATACTGATTAATAAATGTGGAGTGAGCAGTCAAATTAGAGAATCATTGCAATAATCATAGTAAAGATTGACTGGGTAAGAAGCATCAATGCATGAAAAGTCTGGGGTCAGGATTGGGGAAAAGTTTGATGAGGAGCAGGATATTGATATTGTCTTAACTATATGGTAGAGAACCAGACAGTAACCTTGCCTGAGTGATCAAAACTAACGTAGCCTATGTCTGTTCAGAGAAGGGAACAGCCAAGAACAGTGACCTCCAGGTCCCAGGGTCCCTGTGGCACAGGCCATGCTGTGCAGGGGCTGGAGGAGAGGCCCTAGTTGTGTGGGTTTGCCCCGGACTCAGCAGGAGGTAGGAGAGGTGAGCGCCAAACAGGCTGGGCTGGAGCAGCGGAAGGACAGGGGAGGAGCCAGCACTCCTGAGACCCACCAAGGCCTTGAATGACACTGATGTGAGAAACACAGCAACCAAAGACAGTGTGTGGACTTGGTTTGGGTCTTGATTTGAACAAGAACCCTGAAAAGACATTTTTGAGATCATTGGGAAAAATTGACCACAGCTGATGATTAGATAATGTTCAGGAATAATTGATAATTTTGATGGTGTGATAATGATATTGTGGTTATGTGAGGAAAAGGCCTTATTTTTAAGAGATGCATTCAGTAGTGAAATGGGTAACAGGACAATGTTAAGAATTTGCTTGAAAATATCAGAGCAAAGCAATGAAGTGAAGGAAAGAAAGGGAGAAGAGGATGGATGAAGTGAGAGCAGTAAAAGGTTAATTTGGAGAGGTAGGTACATAAGGGATCACTATATTATTCTCCCTGCTTTTGCGTATGTTTAAAAACTTGAACAGTAAAAATAAAAAAAACTAATGTAGCCTATTAGAAAGATATAATATCACTATGTAGTATTCTGACCAGACATACATAACCTGAATTTAACCATGAGGAGACATCAGACAAAGCCAAAATCAGAAACATGCTATTAAGAAATGAAAACTGGCCTGTATACTTAAAAAAAAAAAAAAAAAAAAAGCCAATGTAATAAAAGCCAAGAAAGCCTGAGGAACTGCTTCAGATTGAAAGATAGACTAAGATATATGACAACTGAATGAATATATGATCCAGATCACAGTTCTTTTGGAGGGAAAATATGGGGACAATTGACAAAACTGTACTATTGATGCTAGATTATATTAAAATATTCTGTCAATGTTGAATTTCCT